ACAGGCTCTTCACAGTGAGAGACAAATTCCTATCCATTGATAAACTCTCCAGATGTCCTCTCTGAGGAGGAAAGGAACCAATTTTTATTTGAAATCCCCAGAGAAATCCTGGAAGTGGAAAAATGATACTTTGCAGGGCTGGTTATTCTGAGGTCACTGGCATTAAAATTAGGTCATTTTTTTTGTCTTGGTTGTACTTTGATCCAAGTCATAAACAGACAAACTCAGTTGGGGTCACTCTAATCCCTAATCCGCATGTCCTGTTCTATTTCAATTTGTTTATACTAATTTTCTCTAAACTCTTGTTGAGTCTGGCTGAAGTGTTGAGTGTGAAAGTACAAAACTTTTTGAATTGAGAAGAAAAAAATCCTGCATTTTGCCATTAGGCACACTTCATAAATATTCTGAATAAATGTCCTGGGGTTTGATTCTTCATACCCACAAACCCATAAATAAAAATGTATTACTATTCATGGAACTACAAGTTGACATTAAGTTCTGTGTTACGGCTACTGTAGACACACAAACTGTGGTGTCTGTGTGTGTGTGTGTGTGTGTGTGTGTGTGTGTGTATACCTTGTAGAGGGTTTAATATTTTGTTGTCTCATTTCTAGGTCTTAGTTTACTTTTCTTATTTTTTTCATGCTTGATTTAATGCTTTTTCCATCAGTTTTGTTTAGGCTCAATGACATATCCAGTGAGTCCACTGTGATAGCTAATGCTTGCTAGTAACAAGGCTACTTAACCCATGATAATTATGCTGACACAATGTAAGAATAATGTATAAATTTTGAAACCAGGATTGTGTGTCTGTATCTGTAATTCCTCAAGTTCTTAGGAAAAGAACAGAAAGAACATTTTAATTATAAAGATACTGTCTTTTTTGCTTTCTCAGATGGGTACGTTAAAGAATCATAGAAAGTTATTTGTATACATATTTCAGAAGAAAATAGTGTATAACATATTATATTTATATTTTTTAGTTTTCTAGCTATACCTAAAAGAAAAAAATTAAGACTTTTAAAAATAATGTCTAATCTTTGTTTCTTTGTATAGACAATCTCTGAGAGTTAGTTCAAAATAAGCCATATCATAGAAATAAATGATAAACTCCATAATTCAAATTTTTAACTTGCCCTTTGAATACTTGAAGTAGAAAGGATTGAAGTAATTGAGTTTAGGCTAATGGGAAGAAGATTGAAAAACCCCTCACTTTCAGCTGACCTCACTACAAAAGTGATACAGGGGAGGTTACTATTAGTCTGTATTTTCCACAGAGGATGAAAATAGAGGCAGAACCAAAAAGTAGTTACCATTTTTTAAAAACTCAGCAATAAAATTGCATTAAATGTGATTATTTATGTCAAATAAATTTAAAGCATCCCCATAAAAATCCAGGTGAATAGTTCATTTACAAGCCTCTCATGTGCTCCAAGCAATAGCATGCAGGTCTAGGGCATGATACAAAATTGTCCAGTCTTAAGAATCACCTCCACACTGAAGAAAGTTTCTTGTGTATTGGGGAGTGAGTTGGAGAAATGTCACCCATAGCAGTAGAAGAACATCTCAATTAAAACCCCTTTTTTAAGTGAGGGTTACAGTCGGCACATTTAGGGATTTGCTTTGCAGAGAGGTTTTCTCATTTAGAACAAGAGCTTTACCACCTATCCTAGATGGTAATCAATGCTTCCTATTCATAGGTAAAACATTGTACAGTTTCATTTCACCTGTATAGTTCATTTTGCTGTTTTTTATGCTATTTCAAAGGTATTCTTTGATATAAACACCTTAGAGAGCTAGATTCATTTCTAAAGTAAGGAGAAATGAATGTGGATATAGCTTTTATTTGTTTTGGTGTCTTTTGACCACTAATTTTAAATTTTGAATTTAACATCAACTTCAAGTGATGTGTGAGAGGAGAACTCTAAAATGTATTAAATAAAAAATGTGTATTTATTCTTACATGCTTAAATTCAGTCATCTTCAAAGTACTCTCCATTTGCTGTAATATACCTACCCAAACGCTTTTTCCACTGCACAAAGCAGTTTTTGAACTCGTCAATTTTGATGCCTTTTAGTGCTTCTGCCAGCTTTTGTTTCACCTCTTCCACATCGGCAAAACATTTCCCTTTGAGGACGTTTATTCATCTGGGGAAACCGACAAAAGTCACTGGGGCAAGCTCAGGTGAATAGGAAGGGTGGGGCAAGGGCAGCATGTCGGTTTTGGTCAAAAACCGTTGAATACTCTGCACAGTGTGGGCAGGTGCATTTGTAAATCACCCATCATAAAATGGGCAAACGTTCAAAAAATCTCAAAACAAAAAAAAAATTAACTGACGTCAAATACAGCCTCTCACAATACTAGCTGTGGGTTCCTAGAACACTTGCTTAGTAGAGAGAGCCTATACTACAAGTGGTCCACCCTCCAAATAATAATTCCAGTGTTTTTTGGGGGGGTGAGCCCTCTGGTATTTCATTTAGGCAAATCATTTATTTCAAGTAAATAATAAAAATATGAAAGTCTAGTTTTAAGATCCCTAATGTTGGTAAATTTTTAACTAATTCTAAAAAATGTCAAATGATCAGTGCAGATTAAATCCAGCTGCAATATTACAAAACATGAAAGCTGAATGATAACTCTGAAAACATAAAAAGTCAAATATACCTTTTCAAATTACAAAATAAAGATCAGGTTATAATAGATGCTGTTTTAATGTTAATAATACGTTTTATCGCAATGATGAAAACGGAAATGACAGAAGGCTGAATGACACATCCACTGAAGAACATTGGCTGTGGAAACATTGTGAGCTTGTAAAAGTTTTTGACTATTCTAATGGGTCCTGTAATCATGCCTACTTTCTAAGGTTGTTGCGATATTATGTCCATAATATTATTCATGAGTACGTTTCTAGTTACTCAAAATGGTAATTAGCAAGATCATTGCTTTCCCAGTCTCTTAAAGAAGCTGGCATTTACTATGTTATTTCCTTTTTGAAGTTTTCAAAAGGTAAACCATCTCACCACAAGTGTTACCTTCCCTCAGAATAATGAACAGCTAACACAGTGATTATGATATGAGACCACTGTTCCAAGTTGTACCTACGTATGCTCATCTAATTCTCTTTTGTGTAAAACTGCATCATTACTATCTTTCCCATTTTACAAATGAGTAAACAGACAAGATACAAAAATCTTCAAGGTCACACAGATAGTTTGTAGCTTACCCAGGATTCAATCCTGACTTTTTTGGTTCTAGCATCTGTGTATTCAGTCACTCTTCCTCCGAGCATGTAGAAATCACACAGGCTGTGTCTTGGGCACACAGCTAGTTCAAGAGAATACAGGGGGAATGTAATATGAATAAAGTTTCACTTAACTGCTAGGGGCACGGCAGCCAAAAGTGTGAACTGCGGGATGAAATAACGTGCGTCAAAATCTCAGCTCTTCCTCTTTTTAGGGAACACAGATTTGTCACTTAATCTCAGTTTCAGCTTCTGCATCTATTATCATGGGACCCTATCAGTCCCTAACTAATGTCGAGATTAAGGTCCTTTGGGTCTCTGTGACATACTTACCATGGTGCCTGGCACAATATAAAAGCTCATGAACATTCAATACATTCCGAAAACAAGGAACTTCGTAACCTATTGCTGTTGCTCTTATTATTATCATTATTCATGTGAAAACGGGGGTCTTCATAACTACTCTGTGCTCAAGCTTCTTTCCTTAAGAGAAAACAATAAACAAAGAGGTCAATATACTGTTCACCGAGTGACTGACCCCAGTTATGAATCGAAAACAGTTAAAGAGATCACTGACAGCTGAAAAACAAAATACCCCAAAGGCAGTTCACAAACAAAATATTTCTTTTGGCTCTTCAGGGAATCAAACATAGTTCCCTCCATTTCCTCTATGTCTCTTCTGATCCTTTGATTCATCAGATCTTGTAGGTGGTCATAGATCAATGATCGGGTTCATAAGTATATACAACAATTCTTAGAAATCACTCTTCTTGGCCGGGCTCGGTGGCTCAACCTGTAATCTCAGCGCTTTGGGAGGCCGAGGTGAGTGAATTGCCTGAGCCCGCGGGTTCAAGACCCGCCCGGGCCACTTGGCGAGACCTCATCTCTACAATAAATCAAAATTTAGCCGGGCATGGTAGCGGTGCCTGCAGTTCCATCTACTGGAAGGCTGAGGCGGAAGGATTGCTGGAGCCCAGCAGGTCGAGGCTGCGGTGGCCGGGAGCAGCCACTGCACTCCAGTCTGGGCGACAGAGTGAGACTCCAACTCAAAAAAAAAAAAAAGAAATCACTCTTCTTAAGGCTGATTGTATTGTGCAATATAAATCACTCAACATCACAATCTTTCTCTCTCTGTAAATGGAACTGCATTTGGTGTGGCCAAATAGCCAAGAATTTTTATTTGTTATTGCTCATCTGCTTTTTTATATTATTTTTGAAATCTTAATGACATTTATGACGTTATTTAAACCTGTGCTGACTTTATGTCTTTCTATAAGTGTAGCCTAGATTGTTCGAACCAACCGTTAGACAGCAGCCTTTACAATGTCTAACAAAGAAATAGCCAGTGGGCAGGACTTAACATTGAAACTTAATCCATCACCAATGCAGACAGCAAAGTATCCCGTGTGTCACATCTGCTACAACCGTATCCTAAATTATCACCATCTTTGATCATGATTAAACAAATTAAATCATAATAAGGTTTATATGGATATATTTGTGCCCCTCACTGGCAAGTATATTATTTAAAAAGCATTCATGACTGGACAAGGGGAGCACTTAGGATGATTACACAGCGTTCCTCCAAGCTGCCAGCTTGAACAGATGAAGCCTTCATGGCAGATAAATTCCACAAATGAACAGCAACACCACATGAAGTCTGGAAGTTCCTGCTGATGTTGGTGTCAGATTTTGACATGCAGCAACTCTGCTGACTCCTGATCTCTTTCCCTTTGGTGTCTTCTTTTCTTGCAGGCCATCAAATCTTCTTCTGGACCAAAGCAATGTCGATATCACTACCTTCCGCACAACGGGTGACTGGCTTAATGGTGTCCGGACAGCACATTGCAAGGAAATCTTCACAGGCGTGGAGTACAGTTCTTGTGACACCATAGCCAAGATTTCCACAGAGTAAGAAAAAAATTGTATTAGGAAGAATGGATGATTCTTCCAAACTTTCTACTGAACATGCATGTTTTGGATTAATGTGTTATAATTATTAGTTGTACCTCTGGGTACATACTGTCTCCTGTCACTGCCGAATGGAACCATGGGCCTCTTTGTGATTCACACCTTCTAGACTGATGTGTTTTCACATGTCTTCCTCCCTTAAGATAGGGCCCTCAGTTAGGTGTTCTTGGATAGATTGGATATGACCTTCCAATAGACCTATAGAAACAGAAAAATATCCACACGGCAGGTCCAAGCTCCTCATTAAAAACATAAGCAGGCCGGGCTCAGTGGCTTAGCCTGTAAGTCCAGCACTTTGGGAGGGCGAGGCGAGGGGATTGCCTGAGCCCACGGGTTGGAGACCAGCCCGGGCAACTTGGTGAGACCTCATCTCTGCAACGAATTTTAAAAATAGCTGGTGTGGTAGCATAAGGCTGTAGTTCCATCTACTTGGAAGACTGAGGTGGAAGGATCACAGGAGCTCAGCAGGTCGACGCTGGAGTGGCCGTGAGCGTGCCACTGCACTCCAGCCAGGGCAATAGAGTGAAACTTCACCTCAAAAAAATCAAAACAAAACAAAACATAAGCAGACATAGCTTGATGTTCCTTATATTCCTGCATTTGTGATTTTCTGTTATTCTTACGAAAGTTTACCCCCTGTGATTTTGAAAATTGAAACTGTTTATAATGTGGTATACAATAAGCATAGCATCATCTGTGTACCATGGTCTACCCTGTGAGGGATATCATGCTAGAAAATGAAGTTTTCATTAGGTTTAAGATGAGACTATTTTCGTTTCCTTAAAAGAATTGCTGTCAGTTGAGAAAGACTGATTTTGCATCAGAATATTAATATTAATTGATGGTTTTGTGTGTGAAAGCCCAATAAGAATCAAATTATAATATGTTGTATTTTGTAGATGGGAATCTCTTGGTAAAAAGATCTTTTGATATGCGAAACTGCATATCAAGAAAAATGGGTTTATAAAGAATCAAGTGAATCTAGTGAATGATAAAAAATATCTAGTCTTTATCACAAGGTCTGGTATTTGGGAAATGGAGAGTGAATAACTGGAAGTCATAGTCTTCACTTCTCTGTGAATGAGAAATAATTTACTCCACTTCCTAGTGTGACTGTGTTATTTTTTCTTTTTTCTGCACAGTCCTTTTTCAATATTCTCATGTGCATAGCTAAAAATGGCTTTCCCTGTTCTAAGTCATATAGCACCATAGTGCCACTCAACTGACCAAGGTCCAGCTCTCGTAATTATAAATTCCCAGGAGAGAAATTCTGAAGGATTGAGTCCCACTTGCAGATTGGGTCTCCACAGTCATATGTTTTCCGATATCTAATCATTTCTGCTCAAAAGAAGCAGAATGAGATAGTATGAGCTTGGCTCTAGGGGTACTTTTCTGAGGGTAAGATGGAGGACTGTCCCATAAAATGAGTTATGTGCTGGGCAGATACACCAACAGTCATCCAGAATGTCACAGTTTGCATGCTCTATTTGGACACTGTTCATTTTTATGTTAGTCTTTCTACCTTTGATCTTTGTTAAATTAAATAAGCCCTTTAGTCCCCTTAGATTCCTTTAAGTATAGTCCTTGCCACCTAATATTTGAATATTTAAATGTATTGAATATATAAAAAAACTTTCATTGTCACTTTTGCCAATTATTTTTTTAAAATCACCATGGAGAACAACAGACCAGATGTCAAAGAGGAATGTGAAGTGTAATTAATAGAGATACAAGTACTCCACAAACTGATAATTAAGTGGATATGTAGATAATTTATGGTATAACAGTACAATTAGAAACACATTAACCCACAAGAACTCCAGGAAGGTTTTATTTTTATTAAAGAGAAGGACTCGTTCCCCCAAAATAAACTAAATTTAGACTCTAATGCATTGACATATCTGTTCAAACTGGAATGTTGTGTTTATTGAATAGATGTCTGACCTCATCAACAATACACTTTGAGTTTCTTTTTTATTTTTATTTATTTATTTATTTATTTGAGTTGGAGTCTCACTCTGTCCTGGAGTGCAGTCCTTCTGCCTCAGCCTTCTGAGTTGCCGGAATTACAGGCATGCGCTACCACGCCCGGCTGATTTTTTTTATTTATTGTAGAGATGAGTTCTCGCTGCCCAGGCAGGTCTCGAACCTGTGGGCTCAGGCAATCCACTCACCTCAACCTCCCAAAGGCGCGGGATTACAAGCTGAGCCACCGAGCCCGGCTCACTTTGAGTTTCTATGGGTAACTACATAGAAGTTATTTTGATCAGATACAGTTTTAAGATGTGTTTAAATATTTTTATAAATTCTAATTTTCATGATATAAACAGTTAGAGTTATGATATACAAGATATCTTCTTTAGAGCATAGAAGCATAGGAAAAAACAAACACAAAGTTGAGCATTTCCACACCATTACCAGATTGTCAAAGGAAAGTTATGCAAATGTTTATCCTCAATAAAATATCAACACTCAGAGCTTTTAGATATCGAACCACTATATTGAAGTTTATGAGGCAGAGCACCGTTAATAAGATTAACTGCTGCTTAGCAATTTAAATATAGCCACCATCATAAGCCTTGAATGTGATAAGAAAGCTATTTGCTTAAAAACAGTGAAATGACAGGATTTGTTATACTTCCAAGTTCGCGATGTATTTGTGTCAACAATACAGTGCTGAACATTAAACTCTTGTGGCTGGTTGGAACGTTTGTACTTAATTGTTATTATTGTTTGAACAACCTGTGAATATTCATTCAAGATGAAAGCAAACTCTTCCTGAGAGACTCATCTCTCTCCGGTCTGTGCTTCACAATGATCAGGTGGTCATGGATGACTCTGTGTTCCACTCCTTTCTCCTCCACTCAAGGACAATGTAGGATTAAATCTACTGCCCTAAAAGACATCGGTTGAAAGACATCGGTTTTTCCTTGAGTCTCTACAGTGCCGTGCATCTCATGCCCCTAGTTTATGCCACAGAAATAAGAATATACTAAAGTCTTTAATGTGCTAATATGGGTAAATATAATAAGGCAGCATTTTCACCTTGAATGCTATAAAATATTTAGCCAGAAATTTTATCTTTCCTTTTGCAATCTTCAGCTTGTTTGAATTTGATTGCGTTCAATCTCTATTTGTGTGTGTGTGTGTGTGTGTGTGCCATCCTGAACCAATTCAGAAATGATTCACTTGACCAAATAACTCTAGAGATTCTGCTAGAAGAGAAAGAGATAACTAAAATAAATATTGAATTTTTTTTCTATAGACTATCAAGTCACAGGGAAAGGCCAATTCCACATTCAAATAAATATTAATTTATTTCAGTTAGTTTAGGGATTTCTTTGACATGCAGGCTACTCGAGTCACCTAATTTTCATCTGAAACCCAGGATATATGCAGTTTTATTCAATAAACATATATTTTGAAAATGTTATTTCGTAGCCTAAGATGGATTTAGGAAGATTCAAGTGAGAAAGGAAGAGAGGAAGGGAAAAGGCAGTGACTGTGACTGTAGAAACTGGAGAGAGAATTAAGTGTGTGGAATGAATATTAAGTAGATTAATTGCTACATGTCATTATTCTGCACCCCTGGATGCTATTTTCAAAGTGCCATCACCTATCCCTTTGCCTTTGAAGTCCCAGATAACACATTAACCTCTGGTCTCAACCTTGAGCTGCTCTTTAGCCTTGAACGTTTTCTCCACCGTTCTTCTGCATGGGATCATCAAAGTAAAATGAGCACGCAAGGAGTGTCACAGAGACTGCAGAAGCCGGTGTTCAGAACTCTTTTGGACACGGCAGGGTAGTGGGCAGAAGACATTTTGGCAAGAGTAGAGATTGTGGAGGGTGCGTAAAATCCCCTAGCTAAGGGATAATCCAAACAGATAATTAATTCCCTTTCCCAAAATCCAATATAATCCCTTGCCTTAATATAACCAAAATTATATTTGTTTGCCTATGTTGGGTTCCCAGACACAGAATCTGAGTCAGTTTTGTGCAGATTTCTTGAGGAATACACTCAGGAGATTCATCTATAAAGAAATGAGGGGGAATGTCACAAATTGGTATGTGAACTCTCAGCGTCTGATTATTTTTCAGCCATTCGGGGATAAGTGCTTCAGTTCAAAAGGGAAGATCAGGCCAAGCACCCCAGCCTGTGTCACTCAGTAACTATGCTTAAGTTTCTCAAAGATCTCATAAAATTACCATATGACATTGGAATATTTTTCCTGCTTTCCATGACTCTAATTTTATTATTTAAGTTTGTGGAGAAAAGGAAAAGAAAGACACAAAGGAAAAAAAAATTATCCAGTCATAAACAATATGTTACAATATTAGAAGAAAAATGGAAGAAGAAATGCAAAAAGAGTGAGAATCTATTGACTTGTACACCTATATTTGTATCTGTCCTGTTTGCTGACTCTAGACTCATAATCTGACTTTGTTATAGTTTGGGCATGAGTGGGAAAATGTTTATTCTTTATTTTAAAGATAGACCAGTGGTACATATATAGTCAAAATCCCAGAACACGTACTCTGAAAAGCCAGGATCAACAGAGGCAGCATGCATTATTCTAAGTGAAGGCTTTTTTTTTTTTTTTTTTTTTTTTTGAGTTGGAGTCTCACTTGGTCGCCTAGACTGAAGTGCAGCGGCCACTCCCGGCCACCGCAGCCTCGACCTGCCGGGCTCTGGTGATCCTTCCGCCTCAGCCTTCCCAGTAGCCGGAATTACAGGCATGTGCTACCACGCCCGGCTGATTTTTTTATTTTTATTGTAGAGATGAGGTCTCGCTGCCCAGGCGGGTCTCAAACCCGCGGGCTCAGGCAATCCACTCACCTCAGCCTCCCAAAGGCGCGGGATGACAGGCTGAGCCACCGAGCCCGGCCCAAGTGAAGGCTTTTATCATCCGTGGTTACACTAAGCACGCAAGCTTGACATTCCCATGCCTCCCCACTCGCCCTCTTAGAGAAGAGTGTGATCAGTGAGCACCTCAGGCAAGATACAAGCCGTCCCTACAGCGTGTATCAGCCATTTGCGTGTCAGCAAGGAAGGACCCTGCCGGTCATCAGGAACTTAATTCCCAGCCCAGAGGATAGGAACGTGGCTCACAGTCTTGGTTAATTTCATGCAGTTGATGCTTAAATGACATATCCATTTTTTCTCAAATGTTTACTTACTATCTTCTTGCATACCTTTATTGCCTTAGCACACACTCCTTAAGAAATCAATTAGTCCATTTCTATGTAGCTGAATTCCCAGTTTTTATTTCGTGCTCAGTATACAGGAACCCAGTGTGTGTGTGTGTGTGTGTGTGTGTGTGTGTGTGTGTGTGTGTGTGTGTGTGTGAGATATTCCCACATGTGTGACTTTTCTTCTTGCCATTCTTTCTCAATATGCCTGTCTCTCCTTGCCAAGTGTTACTTAACTCCCTACTCAACTTCAACCAGAGGAATCTATTTCCTATGTTTATTTCTTCAGTAAGTTTGTATTGAGCCCGCTAAATGACAGCCATTGTACAGGGTGCTATTGATAAACAGAATATAAAATAAGCAAAAATCCAATTCATAGGGAGCTCACCTTGTGGGACAAGACAGGGAATAAAGAAAATAAATCAGAAAAGAGTTGATAGACTTGATGGTAATACATGCTTTGGAAGAAATTGAAACTACAAAGAAAACTAGAAAGTGCAGATACAAGTGCAGGGAGGCTTTACAATATCAGATGGGAGGGTTGAGAAAGCTCTCAGTAGAAGGCATGTCTGGGCATCCTTCATTCCTGAAAGAGGTGGGTATTTGAAATAATTACTGGAAATAAGAACATATACTCAATTTTTTCACATGTTATCCAAGTCTTTTGCTCCTTAAATATTTTTTTTAGGTTTTTATGGATCTCTATTTTAATGCCTACTTTTCAACTTTAAATGTTATGAAGTTTAATAAATAAAAATATGCCTTTGTTATTTTTTCTGTTTCGAAAGAATTCTTACTTTAAAGAGATTGGTCCAGTTATCTATAGCTGCATCACAAACTTCCCCAAAACTTATAGGCTAAAATAGCAACAAGTTTTATCTTACATCATGGTGTTGTGGGTTATGAATTAGGCCAGCGCTCAGGTGGGTGATTCTTTGTCCTTTATTGTTGTTGTTGACCGAAGCTTTCAGCTGATCAATGTAATGATCTGGTCTGGAGACGCTTTCATTCCCATGTCTGCCTTGGTGCAGATATTGTCTACACAACTGGTCTCACCTGGGGTTGTAGACCAAGGTACTTACACGTGGCCCCTTCAGGACTGCAGTTTCAGGTAGTCAGACTTAAGTGGCAGCTCTGAGGCTTCAGAGAGGATGTCTCAAGAGATAAGAAGTAGAAGCTGGGAGCATCTTAAGGCCTGAGTGCAGAAAGGGATATAGTGTCACTTTTGGCACATTCTGTTAGTCAAAGCAGTCCCAAGTGGACCCAGATTCAGAGGAAAGAGACAAAGTCCCACAAAGAATATGTAACTGTCTGGATTAGTTTCCCAAGGCTTCCACAAAGTATTACCACAACAAACATGTTGGCTTAAATAACAGAAGATTATTGTCTTACAATTCTAGAAGCCCTAAGTATGAAATAGAGACATTCGTAGGACCATGCTTGCTCCAAAATCTCTGAAGGGTGGATGCCTCCTTGCCTCTTCTAGCTTCTGGCAGATCCTGGTGTGGCCTGGGTTATGGCAACATGACTCCAACGTGTCTTTTCATCTTTGCATAGCCTTCTCTGTGTCACTGAGTGACCTATTCTCTCATAAAGAAACTGTCACTGGATTAAGGTCCCACTCTATTCCAGTCTGATGTAATCTCAATGTTTTGCTTTAATGGCATCTGCAAAGACCCCATTTCCATATGAGGTTACCTTGTGAGGTTCTGTGTGGAATTTTTGAGGAGACACAAGTCAACCCACTACATTGTCTGTATAGTCTTTGACAAGACAAGGGTAGAATCATGAGGATATAACACATACAAGGGGGGGACCCAAAAATGGAATTTATTTATTAAAAAATTGTGTATTTACTCTTAGATGTTTAAACTTCAGTCACTTTCAAAGTACTCTCCATTTGATGCAGCACATCTATCAAGACGTTTTTTCCACTGCTCAGTTTTTGCACTTGTCGATTTTGATGACATTTAGTGCTTCTGCCGTTTTTGGTTTCACCTCTTCCATGTCGGAAAACGGTTCCTTCTAAGGACTTTTTTCAACCAGGGAAACAAAAAAGAAGTCACTCAGGGCACCATCGGGTGAATAGGAAAGGTGGGGCATAGGTGTCATGAAGTTTTGGGTCAAAAACTATTGAACACTCAGCGTAGTGTGGGCAGGTAAATCACCCATCATGAAATGGGCAAATGCGTTGAAAGAATCTCCCCCCCGAAAATTCACTTAAGCCGAACATAGCCTCTCACAACACTAGCAAGTTCACTGATGCTGATGGACTCATAAAACACTTAGAGAAATCCTGTATTACTAAGAACCCACCTTCTAAAAAAAATCAATTTTGGGCATCCCCTCTCTTAGATGTTGCAAATATCAGAAAGTTAGGTCCAAAGTCCCAGGATATATCATTGTGCAAGTTTTGTTTGTGGAAAATCTCCTGCTTATATACTATCCAGAAAATAATGATTCTCATATTTTCTCTCTTTTTACAGTGACATGAAAAAGGTTGGTGTCACTGTGGTTGGGCCACAGAAGAAGATCATCAGTAGCATTAAAGCTCTAGAGACACAATCAAAGAATGTTCCAGTGCCCGTGTAAAGTTCTACTTCTGGAAGGCAGTGGTGACTGTGGAAGATTTTGCATCACTCTGTAGACAGATGATAATGCTAGAAATACCGGCGGAAGTTCCAAGTCCAATAAGACTCTCAGATATGAGTACAAATGCCTTAAAATGGAATTGAAAAACTCTTTATTTTCTCTTATCATTTAGTGGATGGGTGGGTGGGAGTCTTTGCTTTGTAATTGCTTTTTAAAAAAATATTAGTTGATGGATTAAATTAAAATTCTTCAATGCAAAATGGTGAAGAACTAGCATAGAGCCATTGATCAGAAACTGACTATCATAAAAGCAAAACAAGTGAAATGTCAAAATGGACATGGTGGCTTTGTTTGCAAATAGCCACAAAAGAAAAGACTTGTAATATTTTTATATACAGAAGGAATCTGCAACAGGTATTTTGTTTCTTTAAAAGCAAACAAAATGAGGAATTTATACCTCAAACTATCTGGCCATATTTACTACCTTTTCATTGTATTATTCTCTTTTATCTGTTTAAAAGCATATAGAGATGAAGTTTGTAGTTGTTTTAAGTACTACACATTTTTAATTGTTAGCTTCCTTAAGAATATCATGTAAAGAAATGTCTTAATTTTTGAAAAAAGTACATATTTATTTTCTTTCGAATTGTCTTTATTGTTTTATATTTATGCTTTGATGATTTAATTTGGATTTATTGCAGCCAAGTGCCAAATGCTCTCTCAAATTGTCAGCAGTAGGAAACATGTCTAACTAGACATAGATAATGATTAGTTTCTCTCCAGATTTTTTGAGCCATTCACTTACATGTATTTAAAGAAATGAAGCCTTTTCCCTGTTCATATGCTAACCAAATCTCTCATAGTCTATATTATTTCATTCATTTTTGTCTCTCCATTTCCCATAAACTGTATGTTCCTAATTAAGTGTCACATTCTGGTTTGTATGTAACAGATTTTCAACCAGATGATGACATACCTTTTCTGCTCTGGTGCTTAGAGACCATCAACTCCCTCCTTTAGCAAAGGAGTCATGTTAGAGTTCCTAAGAATAGGAAAAATTTGGAATTCTATCTAGATTGCTGCGTTAACTGGCAACACAGCCTATAGACCAATGCATGAGTCAAAAAATTACTTGCTAACTGGCTTTGAACCACTTAATATAGTTGCTTAAAGTTGCTGAGCTGTTGATAGAGAATGATGACAATGGACATACTCATCTGCATCCCTGAGGTTTAGGCCAATTAATTAAACATTGTGATCATCAATACCAGGTAATAATATCTTTAAGGGTCTTCCACTTCAATGCACCTATTGTAATTTTGGTGTGTAACTTAGAATCATTGAACTTATTTGACCTTATTGTACATATAATTTTCAAAACAGCAAGTCATCTAGCAAATGCCTCAAAATCTGTAGACAGTGGATAAATGTCTCGTTGCAGGGATTTAGACTTTCTGTTACACAAAGGCCAACTATGAGCATGCCAAGAAATGTTTGAAAATGTTTGAAAGGATGAACTTGGTGGAGATCTAGCTACTAATATATTCTGAAGCAACATTATCTATATTCTTTCTAATGTTGATGATCATGGGTATCAGAAATGCATTTGTTACAAGAATATATCGGATAAAACAATGCTGCAAACTTTATGTTCTTATGCAAAATGGAATACTAAATACAGCTTGCAATCACAAATCAAAATTCACAAGTGTTAATCTGTTGTAAGTTTAGTGTAATAAGGCATAGATTGTGTTCCTTCAGATATGAGAGTTTTCTCAAATTTTGGCAATATTCCTTGTAGTTAAATCATGCTACTAGAATTCTGTATTGGATATATAAGAGCATGAACATTTTAAAAAGGTGTGTGATTATGAAATTTCACTTAAATCTACTAGAAGCATCTAGGAAACATTTTTTCAATCAAGTATTTTGCGTTTTGGAATGTCAGAATGAGATTGGAATCTGGCTTTAATCTCATTTTTCCCCAGGCTAACACTTTTTTAGATACTGTTCTGACCATACTCAAAAAGCTCTGTGAATTTCATAAACTAATAGAAGTTGAAAATTGTTGAATCTAAATTTACTTATTTTGGCTGTGGTTTCCATTTGAAAGTAGAGGTTGTATACATGGTATACTGCTTTTCATTTTCCTAATATTTTTCTACCTGACCTCTTATAAATTTACTTTACACAATTCTGACCCTGTACATATGTAAACATGAGTGTACGATCCTTAACTGTGGAGTAGAGGTACTAGAATTCAATGGCCATCTCTTTGTACTGGAACGGCATTGACCTTCAATAAACATGAAGTCACAACTCCTTCGCCATGCTATGTACCATATTATCTGTTTTGTATCTTAAATTTGTTTTACATATATTATTTATTTTTGATGACTCACCCAGTTTATACTGTGCTATCAATGAAGCCATGTATAAATATGATAGGTTTGGCAGTATGTGTTTACTTTAAACTTGTCTTTTCAAAACATTACTCCTTTATGTTGTACAATGTAGATGGCCTCTTACTAATGTAAAATGATTTGTAGTGGAAACATTTATATTTTTATAATAAACATAATGAAAATATTTTTTAAAGATTGGAATACAGAAGTGGTCTTTGAAGTTTTTTTTTAAAAAATCTGCTTAGTTAAACAGTAAAATAATGAAACTTAAGTCATGAAAATCGTGCTCCTGTTTTATTTTTCTCCACTAATTAGGAAGGATTTATGTTTTATTATCACATTTTTAGTTTGAACTTTATTATCAAGAACCTAGAAAAATGATCAGCAAATATCATCTTTATAGTTAATAAGCATTGTTTTAGACAATTCTCTTTTTATTACTGTGACAAAAAAATAAGTTGGATTAAGGAAAAAAAGAACATTTTTTTAGCATATGTAACTGAAAAGTCTGGGAATAAACTCTCCAGCCAAGAGCCCAGGCACAGATGAAACCCAGAATACAAGCCATGTCATAAGGGTTGTCTCTCATTCTCTGTCTTCTTCCATTGACTCTATTTTTCTTCCAGCTGGGTTAATTTTCAAGTGATATCTTTTTACAAGGCAGAAAATACTGTTTTATTTAGTATAATCCTACATTGCAATTTCTATAAATCAGTACTGTCCCTCGATTGTTCCAGCAGAAATCATGTGACCTTGGCCTTACTTGGGGTCACAAGCTCTATCATTCTGGATTAGGGAATGAATTACTCAGATTGGCAAGTACTCAGTCCTGTGCTTGCCATTGAAGATAGTGGGTGAAGTCATGTAGTAGCAATGCTCTACAGTGGTTAGAGGTGTCAGAGTAGATACTATCCAAAATAAAGTCAGAATACTGTTTATGGGTAAAGAAGGAAGTAATGTTGGTCAGGTCAAATAAAACAAAGTAAAATCCCAAAAAACTGTAACTGTAAATCCCATGTTCCAGCACACCTTGCTACTTTGTATTAAATAGGTCCTTTGTCATTTACAGTCCACTTAAAATGATTATCCATGAAAATATTTTTAAAAGCTGATTACATGCAAAATAAAATAAGTGATCAAGATTCTCAGAGAAGGAAGTAGCTAGGAAGAGATCGCAAAACAGGCCAGATTTCTGTTTGCCTTGAAGAAGAAATAGCATTGGATCATGTTGAATGGAGGAAAGGAAAGAATATCTCGTAAGCAGAAGACCAGTTAAATAAAGGGGAAAGGAAGACGTAAAAATAATATATTTACTTATTTAATAAATATGTCATAAGCACCATTATGAGCCAGATGTTTTGCTGTCACTACTTACAAGTTACTTCATTAAATCTCTTGCAAGAATTCTGTAAATAGATTTTACCTACTTTTAAGTGAGAAGGAAATCCAGACTCAGAATGTCCATGTCACCTAACCAAGGTCACTCAAGTATGTAGATAGACAGATGTTTCTGCCTGGAATCTTTTTTTTTTAATGTGTGTTCTTTCTAGCATATTATAACTATCATCCCCATAATGTTCTGAGGACAGTGACAATGAAAATTTGCAAAAAAGTCTTGCAGGAGACTGTAGGTTAAGTAGACTGTGTGATGTTGGAAATCTATTTCAGTGTTCTAGTCATGAAGTCATACACTTACTCTCGGATGACTGCAATAGAAATATGAAGAATGGAAAACATACAAATACATATAAAGGAAAGAGAATTAATAGAATTCACCAACTTGTTACGAAAATTCTTTGAAAGGTAAGAATCAGAGCAAACCATGAAGTATAGATCTTGAGAGTTTGTGGCATTGGTGGCACCATTAGTCAAAGCAGAGAATAAGAAAAAGTCAGTTTAACACCATGTGTTTGCCAAATATATAGTGTTAACCAAACATTAACAAGCTAGGATATCGAATATGAATCTAAAGCTTTGGGAAAAAGGATTCAAGAGTGAAAATGTATTTGTGAAGATGTCTCTGATAATATATAAAGATCTACATATCCTTATTTGTGGCTTCTCTTTTTCTTGGATCGCTTTTCTTAGGTAAATGCAAGTAGCATAGTTAAGTATTCAAATACCATCAGCTTAAAGTAATAAAAAAATACATTTTTAACACAAAAGAATCCAAAGTAGATGTTTGCCTGGGGGCCTTCATTGCAGCAGTTAGGAGCTCCAATCTCTCCAAGTTGTAAGGAGTGTCAGACCTTGGAATCTTCTACTTCCAGTCAGCAAAATGGAGGGAAGGATAGGGTGGATTTTAGGAGCTCTCCACAAGGGGCAATTACCACTTTTTCTCTAGTTTTGTGGGTTAGAACTCAATCACATGTGACTGCACCTAATTGCAAAAGAACATGAAAAAAGATATTTTAACCCTGTGCCCAAACAGAAAATAAAAGCTTTTTTTGGAATTCATAGAGCAATCTCAGTCACGACTTTTTCCATATATGTAATGTGTAAAGGGTAGATAGTTCTCAAAAAGCTTCTAACAAATACCCATCTCTTGCTAACTCTACTCAATTTCTTCTTCTCTATGGGTAACAGTTTTTAACTCTTTTCTCTCATTACAAGGACCCGGTACTTCTAATGGCATCTGTCAGTTATGGGAGTGCAATGCTCAGAACTCCTTTCAAGAGAGCTTATTGCAAACAGAGCAGTTAGCTAACTGAGATGCTGTATTTTCAAAATTTTCAGTATAGTTTCACCAGGCCTTGTTCTAGCCTAGTTGATTCCAGTCAATGACTATGATGGGAGTGCTAGAAACGGGCCATGTCTTCTCAAGCGGTAGATTTCATTTACAAGCCATCTTCTGTCTCGTGTTCTAACCATTCTGGATGAAGCTTTCTCAGAGATACCCTACTGTCTGAGCTCCTTTTTATCTAATCCTCCTTCCTTCACTCTCTCCTTCCACAAGTGTCAGACCTGTATTTCAATCTGAAAACCCTTTGTGCGTCATCCTATACCCTGTCCCAGGGCGTCACAGGTCTAATTCTTTGCTTGCAAGTCCAACTGCAGACAGGTCTAATTTTTTCTGTGTCTGCTTCTTGAAGATCTTAAACCAAAATGACTCTTAAGTCGGCCAACCTAGAAACTAAGATGTCAACCTTTACCCCCTCAGCTACTTTCTCTTCAGCGCCTAGCAGATTTTTTAAACCATGACATCACCTTAGTCAATGCTCATTTTCACACCTTGTTTTCTATCACCCACCACAGCCTCAGTGGTCCCTCATTACTTATCTGGATTACAGATGGAGTTTCCTAAATTATACCCTTGATTCCAGTCCTGCTATCTTCAACTCACTCTTCAATATGCAACTAGGCTAATGTATTATAGCAAATTTAATGTTGTAATTCCTCCCCAGGAACCTAGCAAACTCAAATACCTCAGGGACGTGGCAGTTTACACAAACCAGTGAAGCGAGTGAAGGGGGTGGTGACACATAAAGGGCACCTTTCCTTCCACTAAAAGTCACTTCTTTGGGGTAAGGCAACACAAATCCTTTGTGAATTCTGGTTTTTCAACAGAATCCCTGAGCTAAGTTCTTGTGAGAAACTTTTACATAGTTTTAAAATGATAACTAATCTAGTTGCACACACACACAGGATGAACCTAGCATGCAGCTGCCAACATTTCATTTCTAGAACACAAAACACTCTTCGGTCCAGGCAAGTGAGACTTGTCTTGAATAGAACTCTACTTTTCTTCTTCTTGTCTGGTTTGTTCACTACCTTCTCACGTGCTACACAATGGTACTGAACAACGTGTAGTTGTCTGAGTAGGTCACATTTTTTCATGCATCAGAGCGATCAACATTTCTGTGCCATCATCTAGAATCACTTTGCCCATATATTGATTCTTCAGGTCTCAATATCTCCCTGACACCGAGTTGGGTGACCCTTTCTTGGGCAGCATTAGAACTCCGTGCTTAATATTGTCATAATATTTACTATCTTTGCTGAAATTGCCTGGTCTTTATGCCCCTTCCTTACTCCAGACTCAGGACACCTTGAACAGAAACTGTGCCTTGTAAATCATTATTGCCTAGTTGCCTATTGCAATGTGCCTGGTATACGAGGAGGGACTTCAAAAAAACTGCAATCCTTCTTTAGAGGGCGAGCCCTTTATAGTATAGATTTTCTCAGTTAGGTAAGTGTTCTAGGAACCCATCAGCATCGGTGTACCAGCTAACGCGAGAGGCTGTGTTCAGCTTCAGTGTAATTTTTATTTCTTGAGATTCTTTCAGCGTGTTTGCCCATTTCATGACGGGTGACTTACACATATAAACTGTCCGCAGTGTGCTGTGCTCAGCAGTTTTTGACCAAGAATGACAAGACCTAGGTACCTCACCCTCCCTACTCACCCAATCCTGCCTCCAGTGACTTTATTTTTGGATGAAAAAGTCTTTAAAGGGAAACAGCTCGCTGATGTGGAAGAGGTGAAACAAATAATGGCAGAAGCACTAAAGGCATCAAAATTGATCATACCCCACATCTTTAAAATGAAATAAAATAAAGATAAATAAATAAATTGATGGTTCAGAAACTTTTGGGCAGTGGAAAAAGCATCTTGATAGATGCATTGCATCAAACAGAGAGTAATTTGCAGATGACAAGTTTAAACATGTAAAAATAAATAGAGTTTTTAAATAAATAAATTCCATGGGGGGGTTCCCTCTTGTATAGTGGAGCATGAAGAAAAATCTTTTTTGAGTTGAATTAATTGGTATTAAAATAATGTTTGATAAAGGTAATAAAGGATGATGTCCTGATTTTTTTCTCCCCATAGGAAAAAGTGTAAATTTCCTTCAGGTCAATAAAACTAGTTAATGTTCTAGTTATATAACTTGGATCATTGAACATACTGATCTCTGCTAGAACTGGTTCATTTTCATAGAATTTTGTGGACTCATTTCATTGGTCTCAATGCTCCCATTTTTCTTAGCGCAGTTAAGTCGTTTAAGTAGACCCTTGAACCAGAGCTTAGCTATAAAAATTTAACAAGGTAAATGCCAAAGCTTTTCTGAGCCTTTCTACTTTCTCACTATGTACAAATAACGTCAACATACCTACTAAAAACTACCCTTCTTATGAGGCATCTGGGATGCACATTCTATTGACCCAGAGGATCTAGATACAATTTGGGAAAATAAGTGGTCGAG